TTACATAGGTGATTATCCAAATTTTCGCCATCGATGGGATTTGAACACCCAACCTACCACTTGGGGGGTTGACAACCAGATCACTTCACTAGGTCGCCACACCCCTACTGAAATGTCTTGATAATATTCTAATGAATGATTTATTCCATAGATATTATTGATCGGTCATTTAGAATATGCTTTTGATAAAACTGTAGCTATTGTCACTGAATGTGCTCGAATATATCTGTAGAATGCATCAGATGACCACCTGCTGATTTTTTAAATAAGTGGCAATTGTACTTTCCGCATAACCAATTCTGTTGTGCCTCCTGCTCTGAAACTGTGCCCTGTCACATCTGATTTTGGTAAGAGGGATTTGAGTATATTTATAAACCAATGCTTTGTTGCTGGGTCACCATTAGCTTTCACGAATAGAATATCATTTCCTTTAGCATATGCTGGGTCTGTTCTGGGCATAGTTCATCATTAGTTGAATTAATGATTAATGTCAGGCATTCTGTTGTTTTGTGAGCTTTTGTTTTGGAAAGCTGTATTGTTGCTAAAGTGTCGTTACCAGTCTTGTCGAATTTTAAACTCTGCACCTTTGGTGCATTATGTATTTTTTGCTGGCACTGTGGTAATAATTCTCTTAGTCAGGCTAGGCCATAAAAGGCCACCAGTGATATAGACCAAAACAGTATATATTCTGTGTTGCTAAAGTTTAATCTGTCATAAATACTGTGTAGCTGTGTTCTTGTAATATGCTCTTTCTGATATGTTGGATGAAATATGTAGTTGCTCTCTATTGTCTTCAAAAGCTGTTTTATTAAAGGATCATAGCAAACATTGTTCCATTCAATATGATTCATAGTATAGAAATGTTTCAGAGCAGATAAATAAGATATAATAGTTTATGGCATAACTCTTGTGTGTAGATAAGCAATAAACTTCACTAAGTTCTCCCTTGATATAGGTCATATTAATTTATTGTTATTTAACCATCCTTGTTCCATCGCTAACTTTTGGTATCTTTTTGTTATAGCATTGTATGTTCTGTACATTGAGGGGTTTATTCCTAGAATTTTTTCAGCTTGCTTGTTCAATGCTATCATGGTTAAGGGATATTCATTTGTTTGTCTTGCTGTTTCTTGTTGTATTATATTATTTCTTAGACCTATTATAAAAGTGATGGAATTGTAGAGACTAGGTTAGTATAGTTGTTTGGAATTATTAGTTGTAGAAAGCATGCATGGGGATTTCGTATCATGAATTCTCTATAGCCATTGCATGACAGCAAATCTGCTTCTATATTATCTTTTCCACTTATATGTTCTAATTTGACTGAAAAGTTTCTATGAATTTGAGCTGTATACATTTCAGCTATTATTTCGTTTATTGTGGAGTTTTTACAGTATTCTGCATAAAATGATTCTGCATTGGCCAGGTTGTCGGTCCATATTATCAAGCATTTTTGTGTCCATAGTGATGAAAAAGTAAGTATTGCAATAAGACTTGTCAGAAGTTCATGAATCTGAATGTTATAGTTTGTTAGGTTCATTGCTCTGGACCAGTTAAATGTAGTGAAATACATGTTATAAGTTGCCCTGCCACCCAGATTAGATGCATCTGTAAATAAGTTTTGAACTTTGGGTTGTAGCCATACTCTGTCTTCTAAGAAGTACATACCAGACATTCTGGAAGAATTTTTGATCACTATGTAATATTTGTTTTCATTTGGCCTGTTATTTTAACATGATATTTTGGTTTTTTAGAAATTTCTAGAGCCCTAATAAAACATTGAACAAAAGATCTGCCTTGAGAAATAATTTGACACAACCACATGAGTGATTCAACTAGTGACTGTAACTCTTTTTTGTAACACCATGTTCTTTTGTTCCATTCTAATAACATTTGTATTATTTTAGCCTTTTTTGGTTCTGGTAATGATGCAGACAAGGCTACAGTATCAATGTATATTCCTAAGAATGTAAGTGCAGTACTTGGACCTTCTAACTTTGATTGCTTGTATGGGACATTCATAATCTCTAATATTCAAAGGAATTGGCATAACTCTTGTTTTGCCTGACCTTGTGAAATGATTAGAAAATCATCAACATAGTGAATAATTGACCTGATCCCATGTTGGACTGCAATCTAGACAATAACATCTGCAAACCAACAGAATATGCCGCCTGATGCTCTGTTTTCAAATGCTAATGCTTTGTCGAAGTAGATATTATCTTCATATTTTAGGCCTTAAAGAACCTGGTCTACTGGATTTACTGGGAGTATGTAGTAAGCATCCTGAATATTAACCTTTGATAGCATACAGCCTCTCCCATAATGCATTATCCATTCAACTGCATAATTTATATTTTCATATTTTGTTGCAAACTCGATTCTATCTATTCCGTCATTTATGCTTGCCCCAAATGGTGCTAATAAATATGAAATAACTCGATATGCTTGAGGTCTTGTATCTTTTTTCTCAACTAATCTGCATGGATTAATTTGAAACATTTTGCATAGTGGGCTTGCTAGAGAAAATGGTCCACATATACGACCAACTGCTAGTTCTTTGTCTATATAGTTTTTAAAAGCTGTTGGTTCTATGCTGATTGATTTTAAGTTTTCTTAAATCAAAGTTGTATGTTTTCTAAAAAAATTAAAACAAAAGCCTTGTTCTAGACCTCTGATTAAATATTGAATAAATGGGCAATTTGGATGTTTTTGTGTAAGGTATTTGAATGCTAGTTTATTAACAGGTGTTGTTATATTAAATAATGCTGGGTCTAGTTGTGCTGCGATTTCCATCTCTTCCTATGTAAATAGATTTTATTTTGGTGGAGATGCTTCGATAGTTGAGCATACAGATTGTAGTAAAGGTTTAATTTGAGATGCAACTGTAAACCCTCGGGATAGTTTAAACTGTGCTGAGTATTTCATATGTGCTTCTCATCTTTTTGGTATGCTAGCTGTTGGATATAAGTCTTGTTAGTATTTATGCTGTTTTTTTTTTTTTTTTTTTTTGAAACCAATCATCTTTATAGTATGTAAAATTATGCAATATATGACCTTTATATATTGTTTATTATATATTCAATGACTAATACAATGTATATATTTATTTCTATCTGATACCAATACTATCACTATCATTCTTGCTTATTTATTCTTTTTTTTTTTTTTAATTATTTCTTACTGCTTTAAGAATAATCTCTTGATGCACTTATTTGTTTAAACCTATTGTTCTTGTAAAAGCATGACTTTTCATTATAACCTGTCTTCTTACATATAATACAAGCATGTACTCTGCCACAGTCTTTCTCTTCTGCACAAGTTCTTCTGTTTCAGTTAATGCAAATTTCGCGACCATCATTCTATGATGTATCTAGCCAACCAGGATGGCACACTTCGATCCTGGTTCTCTTAGCTATAGTTAGAGATGGAAAAGTTAGCTTAGGTTTGGTTCTGGTTCCAAAACCTTTAGGTTCTATTTTATAAACCTTAAAACCAAGTTCTAGAACCTAGTGCTAAAACTAGGTTCTAACCTGGTTCTGAAACCTGGTTCTAGAACCTGGTTCTGGAACCTGGTTCTAAAACCAGGTTACAATTTCTTTTAACCAGGTTCTAAAACCAGGTTCCAAAACCAGATTCTAGAACCAGGTTACAATTTTCTTCTAACCAAGTTCTAGAACCTGGTTTCAGAACCTGGTTCTGTCACTGCCAAAATTTTTCACGTGATCAAACAGTGATAAGTATTCGAGATCAGATGTAACATAACATGATTGAGAAATCTTTTTTTGTTAAAAATCGCTTATTTTACTAATTATTCATTATCTTTCTGATCATGTTTTGCAGGTGATTTTGATGGTTAATATTATTTATGTCTTATTATGCAAAAGGAACAAAGACTATAATCATCAGTTTCTGCACAATAAAGTACTATAATATTTGCTTTTAATTATCCTGTTTATTCGATTATCTGTCAGATAAAAAAATGGATAGGCAGATCACACTCCTAATAAGTAAATATTTGTTTCGCCATTACTATACGTAGTTAGATTTAAATACATAAAAAATTTGGCTAAAAAAGCTAACAATAATACATAATATTTTTGGGAATTAAATTTTAAAAAAAAAAATAAAATTCACCAAGTTTTATATGATATAAACTAAGTGTTCGATTGTACCGTTTTTTAATGAAAAAATAAACTATCATTATAGCTTTCTAGGATCAGTTATAATTTTAATCATTATTTTGTAACATCCTTTTTTTAATCAGATTCAGCCTATATAATAAAAATAAAAATTAATAAAGATATATTTTATTTTTACTTAAACTTAAATACTAACTGGTGTTTTTATAACAATTCCATTTTCAATCCAGCTTTTAGTGCACAAAGATGCTTTTGAGGTTTCTGGATTGAGACGGTTTCGGGTATGTGATATGGTATGCGCAGCTACTGAAAATGCTTGTTCGCAAGCTACACTGGTCACTTGGATTGATAAAAAATCTCTCGCTATACATGCTAATGTTGGAAACTCTTTTGCGTGTGCCTGCCACCATAATAAGGGCATAACATTTTCATCACAAGGCAAGGCTAGGTATCATTCTAATTCATCTGCAGTTTTTTGATTAGTTTTAGAAATTGATTCATGACGTCATTTAAGCTCGCAAAAGTAATCGCACGTTGTAATAGTATCATCTTTTACTATATTAGAAGAAACATGTGTTAATTTATCAGATGTAGAATATTTATCAAATATTTCTCTAATTTGATCAATTGCTTTAGTAGTTCGATATCCTATCTCAAATAATGAAAGTTTGGTTCCTGGATCAAGAATTGTTGCAACAGTTGTTGCATCATCAATTATAGTTTCATATTCTTTAATTTTTTCACTAATAGATGCTGCCAACATATATTGATTAAATTTATTATTTTTTATATAATCCTGGAGATATCCTTGAATACTGCTAAATACAAATCAAATATCAGCAATTGTTGGATATGAAGATGCAGATAATAATTTCATGGCTTTTTCTAGTGGCTCCATTAGAAGAAGGATTTTCTGTTTAAATTTTAAATTATATAAAAAAGTAATACCATAAATTCTCGAAATAATAAACACGAGCATTATTTCAAATCATATCCTCTGAAAATAGTATTGTTAGTTTTGAAATAATATCCATGCACATTCCAAGATAGCACATACTTCATAATAGTTCTATTCATATATTTTTTAACTTTCATAATAAAATATTTGCATATAACAACTGTGAAGAATCTTCACAGATATCACATGCAAACAATTTTATTATGTCAGTCAGTCAATCGTGAAGATTGTCTAATGCAACAAAAGAACACATTACTGTAGAAGTTTGCTTATTGCGTAAATTAAAAAAATTGATTTATGATTTCACGGATATACTTAAAATCAGTGTTGGTCGATGACCTAAGTTATAACATTTTTTCTATATGACCTTGGTTATATAATCATATGACCTTTTGGTCATAGTCATATCGGTCATATTAAATGCTAATAAAAATTTTTTACTTTGGTTCTTACTATATTAAAAAAGATCATAAGTTATATCAATCTTCATTATGACTGAATGACCTATGACAGGCCATAAAGATCATATAAGTCATTTAAGGTCATAGACCAACACTTCTTGAAATAATGCCCAGATATTCAAAATAATATGCAGATGCCCGTTATTTTGAGAATTTACAGTATTTGAGGCTAATAGAAAAAAAAACAGTTAAATGTTAGATATATTCATGAAAAAATCCAAACTTAAAATAAAAACTTACAATAGAGTTTAATTGTCAGTATGATGTATCATACAAGTAATAATTAATTATTTCTATTTTTTACCTCAATTTTGCTCAATGTTTCTGCTTTTGGCATTAAATTTTGAATATCATCATGGTTGATAGCCAACATTCGTAAAACACCTTGCATTCGGATCATTTTTTTTAACATATAGTAAGTACTATTCCATCTTGTTGCAATATCCAACTCTGGCTTTAATTAATCTATTTTTTGCGCGAGACATAAATTTCTCAATTCATCACATAAATATACTGAATTTTTGAGTTTTGACATTAATGACCGAATATTACCAATTTCCTGATCAATAATCTCGAGTCCATGATGTGCAGCTAGATTCAGAACATGAGCAGTGCACCAATAATGATGAAAGGCCTGACTATCTAATTCTTTATTTAGATTATTTGCTAAGGTTCTTCCACAAACCAACATTGCTGATGTGTTATCAGTAGTAAGAGCCAATGTCTTATCCATAAGGTTAAATTCTACAAGAATATTATTAATAGCAGTTGCAATATTCACCCCTGTATGACGCATATTAAAAGGAACAATATCTAATAAAAATCGATGAAATTTCTATTGTTGATCGATATAGTGAATTGTGATTCCAAGGAAAGCTTCATGGTTTATAATTGATGTTCACATATCTGCTGTTAAGGCAATTTTTCCTGAGATTTTAGATAATGTATTAATTAAATTACTTCTTTGTTCATTAAAATAACTAATAACCATATCTCTGACTTGATGACGATTGGGAATTTTATAACATGAGTCAAAGATATTTATCATCTTAATAAATTTTTCATTTTCAACAACACAAAATGGTTGCTGGTCTAAGATTATCCAACTAATTAATGCAACATCGCATTCTTTTTTTTGCTTTTCAGGCCACGGATTGTTATAAAAAATGATAACTTTGATTGTTGAGTTTTAATTCTTTCAATTTTTATATTATGTTAAATACTTAAATGCTTTTCTAAACTAGAATTTCCAGTTTTACTTGAAAACTTAAAACTGCATTTAGAACAAATTGGTCTATTGGGTTCTTTAGGTGCAAAATTAAAGTAGTTCCATAAAGGTGATGGTTTGGTTGATGAAACCATATCTGTTTCTGATACTGTTTCTGATACTACTTCTGAAATTGGAGATGATGTAGTATTTCTTTCTAATGTTGAAGATGATAAAACTGCATTGTCTTCTGATAAAGGAGGTGGTAAACTAGTATCCGTTTCTAATATTGGAGATAGTGGTTCATTGTATGGGGTATAATCTTCTTCGTAGCTATAATCAAAATCTTCAGGATCCATATTTAATGATTAAATTAAAAGTTGTTAGTGATTTGACTTTCATGGTATATATAGATATTCAGTTAACAAGATTCTATTTTACTTAATATGTGCCTTCATTTTTATTTGGGTTTATTATGCTAACCTCACATTGATATGCACACCGTGGTTTTAACAATAAAGCTAATTAAAAACTCAATTATACTTAAAGAAGTATATTTTAAAAGCAAAGATCAATTAGTAGGTGATATGCGTAGATGTATGCACTGTTTAGCTTCAGCTGTGAACTTGAATAGTTAAAGATCATTGTATTATGGTAAAATTGGGATGCATTCGTTTATCAAGAACAGAGTGATATAAAATATCACGAAGTGCATAGTAATGCAGTACCATAAATGTTCTCAAATAGATCATTTGGGGAAAAAGATATAAAAAGTGCTCAACTTTAATAAAAATATTTTTGAAATCATTGTGATTACTCTGTAATTAAAAAATCATCGCAGTTAAAGTTAGCTCAATCATTAAACTGATCATGATCTGTGATATGTTAACCAAGTTAAAATTGGGAATGAAAGGAATTAAAACCTGTTTTTCTAGTACGACCATTACTCGAAGTTGACCAGTTCCAGTAATCTTACAATTTATTGGGTAATAAATGTAAGGGTGTAAATGCATACAAAATTGGCATGCAAATTTAGACTTTCACATGTTACATCTCGAGAATTGTGCAATATTGATATACTATATACTTGCTTTTATCGCTAGATTTATTGTTATACATATGCTAGGAAATCTACGTAAAAACTTGAATTTCTTTATTTATAAGTGATGTACATACGTACAAACATGCAAGACTAACATATCGATATGCATTAGTACAACAATATGCAAGCATTTTAAGAGTGATGTAGAAATGCACAAATGATTTGTACTGTATGTACGTATGTACATACATATGTACTGGAACAAGATGCAAGTGTTAAACCATTATGAACCTGTAGACCTAGGTTTTAAAATTGGAACCTGATTTTTTGTACTAAAACCTATCAGGAACCTATAAACCTAGGTTCTAAATTGGAACCTAGTTTTTTATATTAAAACCTATCAGGAACCTATAAACCTAGGTTCTAAAATTGGAACCTGGTTTTTAAAAACCAGGTTCCAAGATTCTGAACCTAAGAACTTTACCATCCTTAGCTATAGTAATATCTAAATTCTTTCCTTCTGCCTCAATATCTCTATCAAATAAAATAGTATTACAATTAATTGCTAATGTAACTCATCAAACTTCATCGTACCTTATCACAGCTGCAAAATCATATCTCATGCATAATTCATTAATATAATCACAATATGCATTTAACTCTTGCTCATGATTTTTGTATAGCATTAATACTGACTCTATGTATGCTTTAAAGGCCATTAACCACTCTGATATATCTTTGAATGAAGTGCTACGTGTTCGTTTCTTTGTTGATATTGCACCACTTTTTGATGTTTGCAGTACTGTATCTTTACTCTCATATTTCATACTATTTACAATATTTTTGTATGCGAAATCTTGAAAATTTATAAATGAACCAAATGCCAATAACTTCCATGTTTTATTTGGCAGACTTGGTTTGATTGGTAATAACTCGATGATCTTTTGACCCTCATTTCAATTCAGAATCCACCATCTACGAATTTGTTCAGTTATTATAGCATCTTTATTAGTCATTCTTTGTACATCAGATAATGGTTTTAATGACATATAACTCAGTACTGGAAACTTCCTATTAGTCAGCTTATATTTCACTAACTTGACTTCATCTAACTCTACCTCTCTCAATTGCACATATTCTGGATTGATTCTTGCCAATAAACTATTGATTATTAGAGTTGAAGGATAATTACCTTCCTGCAGCCCTCTGTACTAGTTGTTTGTGTTATGTGTGTTCTGTTAGTTTCAGGATGTTGTCTGGTTGATGGGTCATTTTTGTTGACTCAACTGTTATTCTCTACACTACCTATCAGGTTAGTCTGTTCTAGCTGCGCAAAACATTGATTGATCGTTTCAATGCATCTTAGATTCCACTCTCTTTGAGCTTCCAGTTGCTGGTCTATGTACTGTCGCATATTCTCCATTATTGCTGATGCCGTTGACTGGATTATTGCATCTAAGTATGATTTTGTTTCTGTATCAATTTGTATATTTCTTTTGTCTGTATCCTGCCTTTGACTTTCATGTGATGCATGCACCTCTACTGTGTCTTCTGATGTTGCTTTTTCATCTTGATTGTTGACTCTACTTCTTGCATTTCATCTGCCCATTTCACAAATGCAATGTTTAGCAATTCAGTTTAGTTATAGAAACACACATAGGTTTGCATCCATTATGTAGCATTACACTTATCTGTACTTGGCCTGATCTTGTTTGGGATCATTGATTACTTTATGATTACTGTATCAGGAAGCTGATAGAAGGTTATACTTGTTTTCGAGTGTGTTCTTATGATACAGGTTTTTCACATGCTCCCTGTCCTAGCTGTGACTTGATCATGTGCCCAAAGTGGCATTGTGTTACTGCTCAGCTATCTTTTCAATCTGTTGACTGCATGTCAACTCGAATAAATCATAGAACATCTACAAGGATCTCTTTATGTATATAATTACAAAAATTCTTATTTATATAATTGCATAATTTTTTTCTAGTGCTGTTTGCTTTACTAACAATTATTTCACTGAAAGCTCATTTGACCAATATCACATAGGGTTAGAATTAGTATTTTATTATTTACTAGTATATATTTTTAGTAAATTGTTGCCTAGATGATATCAGTTAAATGAGCTGTTAGTAAAAAGATTGTTGGTAAAATAATACAGACCCATAATTTACTTATGCATAACTGCTTAAAAATTGACTTATTATAGAAAATATACAACTAATTTAATGATGAAATGAATAATATATATTACTGTATTTGGATTATAACAAAAATAGTAGAAGTTGAAATCATTATCGCAGTCAGATTTATATAGTCAAACTTTAATTATATCTCTAATAAGATATATTTTAACCTAATCCATTTAGAATATGTATTATTTTATCAACAGATGAGTTTTTTTTATAGACTACACTAACCTTAACTCTAATTCTAGCATGACCTTAATGACAATGACCAGAATTACTTTGTCTGTAAAATGAACTGTTAATGAAATCAACTGTCAGTAAAATGAACTCATCAGTAAAATGAACTCATTGGTGAATTAGTTTTGATATCAGTAGAGTAATTAGTAATGTGGTAGAATCATCTCAATGATAATTGTCACATTGTTGTAACTATAACAACAGGTATGCATATGCATTTGGATATGTAATCATAGAGCATAATTTAAATATTAAAATAAGTAGCTGCACAATATTGTCACATGAAACCAGAAATAGAAGAAATCTACACAGACACTATTTTAGTCACAGGAAACCATATTCTTTATTGCAATCTATTCCTAATATAAGAAAATGTCTTTTTATAAAAGAAGTTGATAGTACTTGCAATCTGAATATTGGTTTAAATTTTAATGACTTAGCCTAAAAAACTTATTAATAAAGTTAATGTCTAACTGCTATATAGTTGGTTAGCTAGCATAACTCAATTTCAATGAATCTGATCCAAAATTTTGAGGCTCTGTAAAAAATATTAAAAAATATATGAAATATATTTGTATTTAGAAATGATCAACAAATTCTTTCGATTAAGTTTTTGATGATCAGTGATTATCATTTTATTAGCCTGATAAAATTTTGATGAAAAAAATGAAAATTACCAAATATTTAGCATTGAGGCCTTTAAAATTATATTAGGACACTAATTTTTGTACCTAAAAAACTTATTTTTATTATACTTTGTTATAGCATCTTCGATTTTACAGATGTATGCATTTATTTATGTTTTTTTAAAAAAATATCGAATTATAAATAAGTTATGCAGACCAATCAATTCCAATATTTTGCGTATAGAGGCATTTGTTCCTGGTACCTATCTTTTAAAGCATTGTTTAGTGCTATATAAAGTCATAATGACAGATTACCCAATTATATGCTAAGAATCGCACATGCATATTAACTTGCCTGTAAACCATATACTATATACTTCGTACCCTATTCCTGATATGAAAATGTAATGATGTCATAGTTGCAATAACTAACAATAGTAAAAAAGAACAGAGGTTAAATCATTACCCAAAAAATTTTTAGATGACATGTATACATTATTATAATCATTATATTAATTATTATTTAAAAAAAAGACCAATGTAATTTTTTATTATAATTTTTTCTTTAAAACTAATTTTACAAGCACCAATATTTAAATTTACAAAGTATGATTGTAAAGAACTTAACATTTTTTTTTTTTTGAAAGCAAAAAATTTTTACTAATAAAATTATTAAATTTTTAATGTTTTTAAAAAAAATAATTTAAATGTTTTAAAATAATTTAAATGTTTTGTTTGTAAAAAGTTAATAAGCAAATATAAATAAAATAAATAAATCCTATTTTACTATTATTTTTACAACCAGAATGTATTATAATTTCAATTTTCTAAGTTTTTGGAAATTGTTTTTGTCTTTTAAATTAGTTACAATCTTTTACAAATTTATATATTAGTTTGAAGTTCTTGTTAATATCATCAAACCATTTATTACTATTTGGATTTAATGTATTTTTTTCAAGAACTTCTTTTGCTGAGTTAAATAATTTAAAGATTTTTTGTTTTCATTTTTAAAACAAAATTATATTTTGATTAGCAAAATTACTTTCCTTTAAATCAATCTAATTCTGTTCTTATGTTTGATATACTGATGTTTCTTAAGTTTGATAATTTGATATTTCTTGAATTTGATATTCAGATATTTTTTGAGTTTGATATTTAGATGTTTTTTTTTTTTTTTTTTTTTTTTTTTGTTTATTTTTTGCTGATTTGTTTTTTTTCTTTTTTTTTTTGTGTTCTTTAT